TGACCTGGCTGAAGTCGGACGCTTAACCGACTGCGCCACCCAGGCGCCCCAATCCAGCACCCTTTCTTAATAAAAACCCTTGAGAAAGTCGGGATAGAAGGAACATACTTAAAGATCATAAAAGCCATTTATGAAAAGCCCACAGCTAACATCATCCTCAACGGGGAAAAACTGAGAGCTTTTTCCCTGAGATCAGGAACACGACAGGGATGCCCACTCTCACCGCTGTTGTTTAACATAGTGCTGGAAGTTCTAGCATCAGCAATCAGACAACAAAAGGAAATCAAAGGCATCAAAATTGGCAAAGATGAAGTCAAGCTTTTGCTTTTTGCAGATGACATGATATTATACATGGAAAATCCGACAGACTCCACCAAAAGTCTGCTAGAACTGATACATGAATTCAGCAAAGTTGCAGGATACAAAATCAATGTACAGAAATCAGTTGCATTCTTATACACTAACAATGAAGCAACAGAAAGACAAATAAGGAAACTGATCCCATTCACAATTGCACCAAGAAGCATAAAATACCTAGGAATAAATCTAACCAAAGATGTAAAGGATCTGTATGCTGAAAACTATAGAAAGCTTATGAAGGTAATTGAAGAAGATTTAAAGAAATGGAAAGACATTCCCTGCTCATGGATTGGAAGAATAAATATTGTCAAAATGTCAATACTACCCAAAGCTATCTACACATTCAATGCAATCCCAATCAAAATTGCACCAGCATTCTTCTCGAAACTAGAACAAGCAATCCTAAAATTCATATGGAACCACAAAAGGGCCCGAATAGCCAAAGTAATTTTGAAGAAGAAGACCAAAGCAGGAGGCATCACAATCCCAGACTTTAGCCTCTACTACAAAGCTGTCATCATCAAGACAGCATGGTATTGGCACAAAAACAGACACATAGACCAATGGAATAGAATAGAAACCCCAGAACTAGACCCACAAACGTATGGCCAACTCATCTTTGACAAAGCAGGAAAGAACATCCAATGGAAAAAAGACAGTCTCTTTAACAAATGGTGCTGGGAGAACTGGACAGCAACATGCAGAAGGTTGAAACTAGACCACTTTCTCACACCATTCACAAAAATAAACTCAAAATGGATAAAGGACCTGAATGTGAGACAGGAAACCATCAAAACCCTAGGGGAGAAAGCAGGAAAAGACCTCTCTGACCTCAGCCGTAGCAATCTCTTACTCGACACATCCCCAAAGGCAAGGGAATTAAAAGCAAAAGTGAATTACTGGGACCTTATGAAGATAAAAAGCTTCTGCACAGCAAAGGAAACAACCAACAAAACGAAAAGGCAACCAACGGAATGGGAAAAGATATTTGCAAATGACATATCGGACAAAGGGCTAGTATCCAAAATCTATAAAGAGCTCACCAAACTCCACACCCGAAAAGCAAATAACCCAGTGAAGAAATGGGCAGAAAACATGAATAGACACTTCTCTAAAGAAGACAATCGGATGGCCAACAGGCACATGAAAAGATGTTCAGCGTCGCTCCTTATCAGGGAAATACAAATCAAAACCACACTCAGATATCACCTCACGCCAGTCAGAGTGGCCAAAATGAACAAATCAGGAGACTCTAGATGCTGGAGAGGATGTGGAGAAACGGGAACCCTCTTGCACTGTTGGTGGGAATGCAAATTGGTGCAGCCGCTCTGGAAAGCAGTGTGGAGGTTCCTCAGAAAATTAAAAATAGACCTACCCTATGACCCAGCAATAGCACTGCTAGGAATTTATCCAAGGGACACAGGAGTACTGATGCATAGGGGCACTTGTACCCCAATGTTCATAGCAGCACTCTCAACAATAGCCAAATTATGGAAAGAGCCTAAATGTCCATCAACTGATGAATGGATAAAGAAATTGTGGTTTATATACACTATGGAATACTACGTGGCAATGAGAAAAAATGAAATATGGCCTTTTGTAGCAACGTGGATGGAACTGGAGAGTGTGATGCTAAGTGAAATAAGCCATACAGAGAAAGACAGATACCATGTGGTTTCACTCTTATGTGGATCCTGAGAAACTGAACAGGAACCCATGGGGGAGGGGAAGGGAAAAAAAAAAAAAGAGGTTAGAGTGGGAGAGAGCCAAAGCATAAGAGACTGTTGAGAACTGAGAGCAAACTGAGGGTTGATGGGGGGTGGGAGGGAGGAGAGGGTGGGTGATGGGTATTGAGGAGGGCACCTTTTGGGATGAGCACTGGGTGTTGTATGGAAACCAATTTGACAAGAAATTTCATATATAAATAAAAAAAATAAAAAAAAATAACTGGAATTAGAACTTCAGAATTCTCACACTGTAGAGCTCAAATAGAGGAAGGACTCTTATTCATATTCCTGACTTAGGGTCTTCTCAAGTAAATCCCTGCAATCTGTTTAATTCATAATGCTACCAAGAGACAAAGAACTCCCCTCAACCTCTGGATCTGCTAAGGCCCCAAAGTTTTTCTTACACTATTACTTACTATAATCCTCACCTCCCTGGTAGGACTAGCTTCTCTTCTTTAGAGTTCAGGAAACTTTCTTGGACTAGCTTCTCTTCTCTAGAGTTCAGGAAACCTTCTCTAAAGTCCCAGAACAACCTCTGAAACAACCCCCTTTTTTTTCTTCTTCCTTCTCTGGGGTCCCAGTCCTGATTCCTTGCTGTCCCTGCACTCATGCCCATCTCTGCTGTCTCGGAATTCAGTGTCATGAGGACTTGGAGAGGACCTGAGGGTTATAATCTGGCTTTTTCCACTCCAGACAAGCCCCAAATCCTTCATTCACTGACCATAACTCTCCCACTTCTCCCACTCTTGTATCTGGTTCAGGAACCAACAATTCAGTATGAGGAAGCAGCAGCAGCAACTACTAAAGCAACCAAACAAGACCCTTCCATCCAAGAATGTGCACATCTCAACCACAAAGTCAATCAGTCTTCATTATTTTTCTTCCTGCAGTTTCAGATTTCTGTAGCTCCTTTCCACATCAGCCCTTAGGCCCTTTCAACTGGGCATGGGACTCTCATCACTGAGATATCCAAATGTAAAATCCTTAGTTGGAGAAGCTAGTGGCCTCAGTGTCTTGCTTTGTACTCTGATACCTATGACATAGCCTAAATCATGAAAGTGTACAGTTTTCCTGATGAGGGTGAGACATTCTGCTATTCTTTTCATTGTCTGTAGAAGTATCCCTCACCAACAAGATCCCAGCTAGAAGAAAAGAGTTCCTCTCTCCACATCTGTGCTGGTCCAGCTGTAGGTCTATCTCCTGGACAAATCAGGTCGAGTATGACAAGCTGGGGCTTTGCAGTCTAAGAGATTGCCTGGAATTCTAGAATAACTCCAATATGGTGGAGTTTGGATTTCTCTGATCAAAGTACAAAGAAATACCAATCATATAGAAAAAGGTTCTTGTCTCTTATACATGCCTCTTTTCTTTCCTTTGTATGCTTCTAAACCCAAATGTATGGGTCAGTGTCACTTTTATTCAGAAGTGTAAAAGCTAGAGATGCTTTAACAAGTATAGCTCAGTACTACACATCAGCCCCACAACTCTCCCAGGAGATAGGCCTTCCTAATTCCTTAGATGGCCAAAGAGACTCCAAAATTCCCTCTTCTCAAAACTATCTTAAACTTTTAATTAATTTTTAATTTTGTTTTTATTTTTTATTTTATTTGTTTAGGTTTTAAAAGTTTTATTTAAATTCCAGTTAGTCAACAATGCAATATTTGTTTCAGGTGTACAATATAGTAATTCAACAAAATATACAACACGTTGTGCTCATTAAAACAAGTGCACTCCTCAATCCCTATCACCTATTTAACCCATCCTCCTACCCACCTCCCCTCTGATAACCATCAGTTTGTTCTCTATAGTTAGAAGTCTGTTTCTTGGTTTGCCTCTCTTTTTTTATCCCTTTGCTTGTTTGTTTTGTTTCTTAAATTCTACATATGAGTGAAATCATATGGTACCTATCTTTCTCTGACTGACTTATTTTGCTCTAGTTCTATCCACATCGATGAAAATGGCAAGACTTCATTCTTTTTGATGGCTGAGGAATATTCCATTATATAATAAACAAACAAAGAAACAAACAAACACCATATCTTCTTTTTCCATTCATCAGTCAATGAACACTTGGGCTGTGTCCATAATTTGGCTATTATATATAATGCTGCCATAAACACTGGGGTGCATGTATCCCTTTGAATTAGTATTTGTATTCTTTTAGTAAATACTTAATAGTGCAATTGCTGAATTGTAGGGCAGTTCTATTTTTAACTTTTTGAGGAATCTCCATACTGTTTTCCAGAGTGACTGTACCAGTTTGCATTCCCACCAACAGTGCAAGAGAGTTCCCCTTTCTCCGCATCCTTTAGTCCCAATAGTTTATTTTTGCTTTTGTTTCCCTTGCATTGAGAGATATATCTAGAAAGAAGTTGCAATGCCAGTGTCAAAGAGATTACTACCTGTGTTCTCCACCAAAAAATTGCTAGAACTGATACACAAATTCATTAAAGTGCAGGATACAATATCAATGTACAGAAATCTGTTGCATTTCTATACACCAATAATGAAGCAGCAGAAAAATTAAGAAAACAATCCCATTTACAATTGTACCAAAAATAATAAAATACCTAGTAATAAGCCTAACCAAAGAGGTGAAAGACCCATGTTCTGAAAACATTGATGAAAGAAGTTGAATATGACACCAAGAAATGGAAAGACATTCCATACTTGTGGATTGGAAGAACAACTATTGTTAAAATGTCTATACTACCCAAAGCAATCTACACATTTAGTGCAATCCCTATCATATCACCAACTGCATTTTTCACAGAGCTGGAACAAACAATTTTAAAATTAGTATGGAACCACAGAAGACCCCAAATAACCAAAGCAAACTTGAAAAAGAAAAGCAAGCTGGAGCATCACAATTCCAGACTTCAATATTACAAAGCTGTAATGATCAAGACAGTATAGTACTGACACAAAAATAGATACATAGAATAGAAAACCCAGAAATGAACCACAACTATATGATCAACTAATCTTCATCAAAGCAGGAAAGAATATCCAATGGGAAAAAGAGTCTCTTCAAGTGGTTCTGGAAACCGGGACAGCAACACACAGAAGAATGAAACTGGACCACTTTCTTACATCATACACAAAAATATATTCAAATGGGTTAAAGACATAAATGTGAGCCATGAAACCATAAAAATCCTAGAGGAGTATACTTCAAGTTTTTATTTTAATTCCAGTTAGTTAACATATAGTGTCATATTAGTTTCAGGTGTACAATATAGCAATTTAACAGCTCCATACATCATCCTGTGTTCATCACAACAAGCGCCTTAATCCTCATCACCTATTTAATCCACCCCCATACCTACCTCCCTTCTGGTAATCATCAGTTTGTTCTATATAATTAAGAATCTGTTCCTTGCTTTGACTCTCTCTCTCTCTCTCTCTCTCTCTCTCTCTCTCTCTCTCTTCCCTTTGCCTGTCTGTTTTGTTTCTTAAATTCCACATGTGAGTGAAGTTATATGGCATTTGTTTTTCTCTGACTTATTTCACCTAGCATAATACTCTCTAGCTCCATACACGTTGTTTCAAATGGCAAGACTTTATTCTTTTTTATGGCTGAGTAATATTCCTACCTTAGGCTTTTTTTTTTTTTTTTAAAGGGTCAGCAGCAGGGCTGGGTTGGTCATTAACCTTTAATGGGAGCAGTATATAAACTTATATTTTATTACCAGTATTTAGGGCCTATGGTTTTCTAATAGATATATTCAGTCAACATTTAAGGGGAAATCACAATCACCATTAGTTTTAATATATGAATCTATAAGTACTAAGAAACGTATGAACTGGCATAGAAAGAAATACAACAGATTTTGAAGATGAGATGATTATCTAGGAAAATTGACAAAATCAACTGTCAGGCTTTTAGAATTACTGTTCAGCAAGTTTTCCAGTACATGATCAACCTACAAAATTAATAGCATGTCCCCAAAAGCAATAATAAAACAAAACATAATAAAATAAATACCTCTCAATGAAAAATATGTAAGGATCTAGGAATCGAATAAAGGATATAGGAGATGTTGTGGATAAAAGGCTTTTGAGGCCATAAAATAATAGATTTGAGAGGATTTAAGTCATAAATTCTGTTCTCCAAACTCATTGGAATGAAAATAAGAATCAATAGCAAAAGAAAATTCAGAAAATTCTCAAAATTCCCAAATACATAAATATTAAAAAGTACACTCCTAAATAACCAATAGATAAAGACAAAATCACAAGGAAAATTAGGAAATACCCAGAGACAAATGAAAACAAAAACACAACATGCCAAAACATATGAGAGCAAGTTAAATCAGTACTTAGAAGGAAATTTATAGCTACAAAATCCTATGTTTAAAAAATGGTATCTCAAATTAATAACCTTTTTTTAAATAGGAAGGAAGCTTGAATAAATATATTAATATCTGTCAAGTTATACTTTAAGGCAATACACTTGGTTAAAAGTAAAAATATATTAGACAAGGACAAAAGGAACAATTAACCTGAAAAATATAATAATTCTGCATTTGTATCTATTTAACAATGTATTCCCAAGACATATAAATAAAAGTTAACACAATTCTGGGGGAAACTTAAACACATAATCGTAATGGAACATTTTAATATAATACTCAACAATTGCCGAGTCAAATAGATTAAAATTCAGTATGCATAGAGAAGGTTTTTAACCACACAGTGAATAACTTTGACTTAAAAGAAGTAGATTTCTTCATCCAAATGATAGAGAATACTCATTATTTTCAAGCACATAATGATCATGTACTAGACCACAAAGTGTATCTTAAACTTAAATGAACCAATAACATATAAGCAGCATTTTTTTTAAGTCATAAGGCAATTTCACTAGAAGAAACTTCAACTTCTCTCTCCATTTAGAAATAAAGAGTACATTTCTAAGTAATTAATAAATCATGGAAGAAATTATGCTAATAACCTGGTAAATAATAATAATAATAATAATAATAACAACTAGGTCAATATTTACTGGGGAAACTAACAGACACTAGCAGTAGCAGGTTTGCAGGTCTTTGTTACCCATCACATCCTGGATCACTGCAGAGGGATCTTGCAGAGCAAGACTGCAGACCTGGGAGAGAAACACTGGCCCTTAGGCTGTGACATTTTTTGCCTTTTTTTTTTTTTTACTTTTGATTTTTTTAATAGTCTTTATTTTTTAGAGCAGTTTTAGGTTCATAGCAAAATCAAGCAAAAGGTACAGAGATTTACCATATACTCCCTGCTCCCTCATATATATAGCCTCCCCCATTATCGGGAGGGGTAGGTACATTTGTTACAATTGATGAACCTACATTGACATACTATCACCTAAAGTCATAGTTTACATTAAGGTTTACTCTCGGTGGTGTACATTACATGGATTTTGACAAATGTATAATGACATGTATCCATCATTATAGTATCTTATAGGATAATTTCACTGCCCTAAAAATTCTCTGTGTTCTATCTATTTATCCCTCTGTCTCCCCTAACCTCTAGCAACCACTGATCCCTTTACTGTCTCCATAGATTTACCCTCAAACCAATAAATTTATACCTTCAGAAACTAGAAAAAGAAAAGCTGGGGCGCCTGGGTGGCGCAGTCGGTTAAGCGTCCGACTTCAGCCAGGTCACGATCTCGCGGTCCGTGAGTTCGAGCCCCGCGTCGGGCTCTGGGCTGATGGCTCAGAGCCTGGAGCCTGTTTCCGATTCTGTGTCTCCCTCTCTCTCTGCCCCTGCCCCGTTCATGCTCTGTCTCTCTCTGTCCCAAAAATAAATAAACGTTGAAAAAAAAAATTAAAAAAAAAAAAAAAAAAAAAAAGAAAAGCAAACTAAGTCCAAGGTAAGCAGAAGGAAGAATATAAAGACAAGAGCAGCGATAAATCAAATAAAGAAAAACAATACAGCAAGTCAATAAAATCAAAAGCTAGCTCTTTCTCAGTCTGACTTACTTCATTTAGCATAATACCCTTTAGACCCATCCATGTTGGCACAAAAGACAAATACCATATATTTCACTTATCAGTGGAATCTAAAAACAAAACAAATAAATAAACAAACCAAAAGCAAATAAGACATATAAATATAGAGAATAAATTGATGGCTGCCAGAGGGAAGGAACCTTAAGAGACAGGCAAAATGGGAGAAGGGAAGGGAAAAACAGGATTCCAGTTATGGAATAACTAAATGACAGGAATAAAAGGGACAGCATGGGGAATATAGTCACTAGTACTGTAATAGCAATGTACAGTGACAAATTGTAGCTTCACTTGAGCATAGAGATGTAACATACAGAGATGTTGAATCACTATGTTTTATATCTAAAATTAATGTAATATTGTTTGTCAAGTATCCTCAAAAAAACATTTTTTTTTAACGTTTATTTATTTTTGAGACAGAGAGAGACAGAGCATGAACGGGGGAGGGTCAGAGAGAGAGGGAGACACAGAATCTGAAACTGGCTCCAGTCTCTGAGCAGTCAGCACAGAGCCCGACACGGGGCTTGAACTCACAGACCGCGAGATCATGACCTGAGCCGAAGTTGGACGCTTAACCGACTGAGCCACCCAGGCGCCCCAAAAGATTTTTTTAAATAATTGAAAGGGAAAAAAATCTAGTTCTTTGAAAAGATAAAAAAATGATAAATCTTTAGATAGATTGACCAAAACCAAAAGAAAATAAATAAAAAAGAAGACTCAAATTACTAGAATCAAAAGTGAAAGATTATACCACTACCAACCTTACAAAAATAAAAAGCATTGTAAAGGAATACTATGCAAATTACAAAATTATGCAATTATTCATAACAAATTAGATAATTTAGATGAAATGGAAAATTTCCTAGGAAGACACAAAATACAAAATTTGACTAAACAAGAAATAGAAATGTGAATAGAGCTTTAACAAATAAAGAGATTGAGTTAATAATCAAAAACTTCCCACAAAGAAAAGTCCAGGCCTACATGGCTTCACTACTAAATTCTGCCAAACATTTAAAAAATTAACAACAATCTTTCACAAACTCTCCCCCAAAAAACAAGAAGAGAACACTTTCTAACTCATTCTATAAGACCACATTATTCTGATACCAGAATGGAACAAAGACATCATGAAAAAATTACAAAGTAATATCCCTTATGAATATAGATGCAAAAATCCTCCACAAAATACTAGAATACCAAATCCAGCAACATATAAAAAGTATTATATACCAGACCAAATAGGGTTCATCTAGGAATGCAAAGTTGGTTCAACATAAAAAAAATCTGTGTACTATACCATATTAGTAGAATAAAGGACAAAGTCACATGATCATTTTAATAGACACAGAAAAGCATTTGACAAAATTCCTTACACTTTCATGAAAAAGACACTCAATAAATTGGGATAAACTTTCCAACTTCTTCTACTTGATAAAGGTCATCTACAAAATGCCCACAGGTAACATCATAATGGCAAAAGACTGACTGCTTCTCCCCTAAGATCAAAAACAAGAGGGGTACCTGGATGATTCAGTTAGTTAGGCATCTGACTTCGACTCTGGTCATGATCTTACGGTTGGTGGTTCGAGCCCCATGTCAGGGTCTGGGTTGACAGCTCAGAGCCTGGACTGTCTCTCTGACCCTTCCCTACTGACTCTCTCTCTCTCTCTCTCTCTCTCTCTCTCTCTTTCTTTCTCAAAAATAAATAAACATTGAAAAACGAAAACAGGAAACAAATTTGGGATGGCCACATTCATCACTCTTATTTAGCACAGTGCTTAAAGTTTTAGGCAGTGCAGTCAGGCAAGAAAAGGAAATAAAAGGCATCGGAATTAGAAAGGAAGAAGTAAAAATATCTCTGTTCACAGATGGCATGATCTTGTATATAGAAAATCCTAAGGAATCCATAAGAAAACTATTAGAACTAATCAACAAGTTACGCAAAGTTTCAGGACACAAGATCAATATGTAAAATTTTTATAATTTTCAACTGCTCGTTGTTCACCCCTAAATAAGTTTACCTATGTGGACATATGTGCATGGAAAAATCCAGGGAAAGGTGAATTCTGTATCTGTCTTCGGTCCATATAGTCAAATAACAGCATTGGTGAACACTTGGTATGTTCTGGGCATCATTTGTGTGCTCTACATATATTAATGCATTAATGTGTAAGCTTACTAACACATAGTCACACCAAGTATTTTCATCCCCATTTCACAATTGAGAAAACTGAGGGAGAGAGTGGTTAAGTAATTCGGCCACATACGTAAATTAGTGAAGCCAGGATTATATATTTGCTTTCCTTAAAAGATAGCTAAAAGGGTTTCTTTGAAGAGGAAGTAAAGAAGAGCCCCAGACTCAGAGTGAGAAGAACTGAGTCTTTCCACCAGCCAGCTGTGTGACCTTGGATGGACAATTTACTTTTCTAAACCTCTGTCTCTTTGTGTAAAAAGAGGAAGTTGGACAAAGTAAAAGCAAAGCACCCACCACCTCAGATTCTCTCACACTGGATTTAATTAACACTGTGCCTGATTTCTGATTTACAAACCCTCCCTTTCCCGGCCTTGGGGGAAAGAAGAGGGCCAGGAGAGGACAGCCACTTACTTGTCATGACAAGAAATAGGAGAAACAGAAACAGGACCGCATGTCACTTGCACAAGTTGCTGCTTCAGCCAGTGATGGGTTTAGGTGAAAAGCATGGTTATAATTAGAGCAGCAGCCTGGCCTGAATGCTCCACCAGCCACAGTGAGCACAGCTGGATCTGCCGACTGCACGCACAGGAGTCTGAGAGGCTGCTCCGGCCTTGAAAATGATCCTTCTTAAAAAGATTTGCCTCCTTCCTCAAAGGAAAGAAAACCTATTGATATAAAAGCTCACTTCCCTTCCGGCTTCCCCTGCTAAATGCTACTCCAGTAGAGACCAAGTGTTGATGAATACAGGGGAAAGAAAAAAATCGTAAGCTGAGCCTGGTCACATTGCCCCTTGTGATATAGTTTTATTTTTAACTTCGAAACACTTGAACTATTTCTGTTGAAGTTTTCTCTCCCTTCCCTGCCTCCTCAACAGAACTCTGTCCTCTGCTGCAGCTGATGCACCCCGGCCACTTCCTGCGATCGGCTTGTTCACAATCAAGGGACACAGGTGCAGCAGATGCTGACTCCGCCCGTGCCATTAAGGTAAGCTCTTCAAACTCGAGCAGGTGCACCAGGGGGACATGTGGAGTGATGAACATGGAGATGGAAGCTGGGCTGCGCACCACCTTTTTGCTCTGAACAAGAGGATTGTTAAGCAAATTAGTTAGATGTGGTGGAGACAGGGGTGGGCTTTGAGAATGAGACTCAGCCATATGTAAACTCTTCTTTTAAATCAAAAATCTTAGAGCAGGAAGAAATTACCTGCTTTCTCACAGCTTACGTTCTCTCTTCTACAATCAACCAAAGTGGCTATGTGATGTCTCTAAAGTTATACAGTAGTGATGGGGGGTTGGGTCAGGGTGGAGGAGATGGTGAGGGGAAAGTAGAAGGATTTCTACTTCTATTTTCTATTTCTATTTTCTAAAGTCCAAATGCTATGATCTTTTCACCAATCAGCATTTGCTACATTAACTGCCATTCTATGTACCTTAAATTCCATCCCCTGTGTCACACTACCAATTAATAATATAGCACAATTATATTCACTGTATGTGCTATTTAAACTCTGTTCATAGAGCTTAAAATCTGTTTTTCTTTAACAATATTCCCTAAGTGTGGTTCTCTCCTCTCTAAATCTCTTGAATCCAAAATGCATCCATGGAATACAAGTGAAAGCATTTTACAAGTTGACAAATTTATACAGGCTTTTACACACAAACCCCAAGTTATTACAAAGTTGGAGCTTGCACATCCAGAGGGCCAAAGGGAAAATGATGAATGATACTTGAAGTATCAAAAGCTTTAAAATGTAGATTATTTCTAGTTTTTGAAATAACTGCATAGCATTGCATGCACAAATAAATTGTCAGGGATAAGGGTGCAGTGTTTATTTTGTTTCCCTCTGGGACTTGCTTTAATGTTCAAAGTTCAGCTAAGGACATCCTAGGAAGTAGCCTATGCAGCAAAAGGGATTCTGTACACTCTGAACTTTGCAGTGTACAGGCTAAAGCTACCAATGCCAAGTAAAAAGAGACCTACCAGATACCCTAACTCCTGGATTCCTTCCTTCCTGCCTCTGTAACCTCCAGACATATCCCATAACTGTGCTGTAGACATCTAGATTATAATTATCCCTGTTTGCTGGGGACAATGTATTGTATAGAGCTGACTAACTTCCCTTAATTTTATCAGGGTTTCCACAGTACCAAGGTCTTCAAGGTATATGGTGGGATGCTGTGTTGGCAAGACAGAGGCGTGGTGGTTTAGGAGTAACCAAGCATACAGGCTACCTCACAGCTACCCCGAGATAATCTGGCTAATTAGCACTTTCTTGGCCAATACAAAACAGTAATTAAAAATACTGATACTAATAACACAAGCACCAGATATAAGAATTAACTAGGGTATAATGAAAATGCTGGAATCATAGCCCAGAAGCCCAGGATTGTGGACCCAGTTATGGGAATTATCATCAGCCACTGGTTGTGTTAAAATCTCAAGAGACAAAGGGATTACTTTAGTATTTAACTTTATACACTTTCTTTCCCTAGAATTAAAATCACCATAGCAGCGGAACAGGTGAACAATGTATAATTAAAGTAACTAATTAATTGGGTAACAGGTTAAGAGTTGAAGAATATCTCTGATCTTTAACTTTTGACCTTGTCACTTCCACTGAAGATAAAGCTCAGGAATAAATAATTATCGCCAGGGCCAGCCACATGAGGAGGCAAAATAGTTAGTTGCTGATATCATGTGAGGGGTGCTGAAAGGGGCCCTTGCCTAAAAATATCTCCCTGACATCAACCCTGTTTGCCTACTAATTTTAAAATTATAGTAAAGAATGTTAAAGCTATTATCTGTTAATCCCATTCTCTTTTGCTTGAGTCAGTGATTTAAATATACCTGCTATATGCCTCCTCATGACCTTGTTGGCCAGTGACAGTCAGGCACCACCTCTTTCTCATTCTTCCAGGCTCTGTCCTATTTTGCCCTTGGTACCATGTAAGCTGCCCACATCCTCTTCGCCACCACCACAACACAGGTAGCTCTGTGTGGCATTGTGCTTTCCACAGAATTCTCACTGTTACATCAAGGTGAGAAGCAAGGGAAAGACACTCCACTTTTCTCTGGGCCTCAGCTTCTCTTGTACGAAATGAAGAAGTTAAACTAGACACTCTCATTTCAAAGTGAGGTTCTTAGACCATCATCAGGAGCTTGTTACATGGTTAAGACTCTCGGGCCCCGCCCCAATCCTACCAGATCCAAATCCACATTTTAAAAAGATTGCCCAGGTGATTCCTACACACAGGCTCCAGAGCAGAGTATTTCTGATTATGTGCCCGATCCAGATTTCTGATTTAGGACTGCAAAGATTTAGAACAAGTACTACAACCTCCTGAAAACCAATTCTGGCAGCATTCAGAGTTTCTATTATAACTTGAGCCCACAGAATTCTTTTCCGTTCAGTTAAGGCTACATTCACATAACATTGAAAACATTTCTTTTTCTTTCTTTAAAAAAAAAAAAAACCCATGGGGCACCTGGGTGGCTCAGTTGGTTAAGCACCTGACTTTGGCTTAGATCAGGTCATGATCTCACGGTTTGTGGGTTCGAGCCCCTCATCGGGCTCTGTGCTGACAGCTCAGAGCCTGGAGTCTGCTTCAGATTCTGTGTCTCCCTCTCTCTCTCTGCCCCTCCCCCACTCGTGCTCTATTTCTCTCTGTCTCAAAAATAAATAAATATTTTTTAAAAATCAAGAACATGTTAAAAAGCCCCAAATTAGCAGACATCTGACATCATTACAACTTTCCTCCTAAATCTGTCTCAAATTGCTCTCACACAGCTCTTTCAAAAAGCTGTTTTCTTTAGGGTTCTATTTTATTGCATTCAATTCAATCCTATTGAATAAACATTGAGTTCCAGGAGAACATTGGCTGTACTCACTCTCTCAGTGTCTCAGAAACTACTGTGCACATTCCTTGAGGGTATTCTACTTCTTTGGTATTGCAGTCAGATCTCCTTTCCCACCCAAACACATTCTCCTGGCCAGATGACTTCTGCTCCATTGATGGCCTTCATCCCCAGGCTCTCCATCATAGCAACTTCCCTTAGAAGGTACTGACCCTGCAGCCCATTGCGAGAGAGAAGCCAATTTTAGCTGACATCTTCCCTTTTTGCTCAATGAACAGAATAATGTATGTAGGTAAATAATAAAGATGACAAACTTGGGCCTAGGAAGCAAAAATGCCTCAATCTGCCTTTGTGACATCTGTAAGATCCTCCAGCATGGATGCCATACTGTTTGAATTTTTAAGAGCTTCAGGAATGAATGTGGTGAATACAAGGCACCATAGTTGGGGGGGGGGTGGTTTAAGGGTACTCACATTCTTATGGGACTAAGGTAAGACTTTTTTCTTAAATGGGGTTTGAAGATGATTAAGCAGGCAGTGGAACATAAGCTACATTGGCCTGAGGGAGAACTGAATACTGAAAGGCCGGCCAAGAGGGGCAAGAGTGATGCAATGGGAAGACATAAGACCTGGATGCAGAAGTGACCATGGGAATGACCTTCCTCATAGGGGAAGGACTAACAATTGAGTGACACTTTCTCTACTTTATGTTATTTGTCATAATCCTATGGGGTATTATGAGTTCCATTTTATCAATGAATAAGTTAGCTTTAGGGAAATTAACTTGTGAAAAATTACTTAAGCTAGCACATGACAGTGTTCATGAATTTACTTTATTTTGAGGGTATCAGGTAAGGCCTCCACAGGAGGAAACATAACAGCTGAAATCTAAACAGCAGGAAGGAGCCCATAACACAAATAAAGAGTGAAGGGAGAATTTTAGTAGAAAGAACCAGCACAAAGTCCCTACACTGGACTAAGTGACAAGGCTAGAACTAAGTGCTCAAGGGAGAGGTGAGGTAAAGGAGGCCAGCAGGGGACACTGATGCAGGGCCTTGTGGGCCAGGATAAGGGTGTCAGAATTTACTCCTCATGATGGGAATCCACTGGAGATTTTAAGTGGGAATAATGACCCGGTGTTAAAAGTTATTGAAATCACGCTTCTGCTGATGAATGTAGATTACAGAGCACAAATGGGAAGGGTGAGACTGATTACAGGCTTTTGCACCAGACTGGATGAGTACGATGGTGCTTGGATCCAGGCAGTGGTGGTGGAGATGGGAAGATATGGACAGAACTGCCCACTGCCCTTTCAGATCTCTCCCCAAGGCCTTCCTACCTAACTGGGCCATAGTTCCTCTGTGACTGAAAGCACAAAATCAACCAGCTTCTAGCTCAGTGGTTCTTAAACTTGAGCTTACAACAGAATCAGCTGGATGCAGCAGTTCTGATTCTGTAGGTCTGATTAGGTAGGGCCCAATAGTTTACATTTCTAACCAATTCCTAGGTAATACTGACACTGTGGGTCAGTATGTGGGTCACTTTAAGGGGCACTGTTCTAGCTGACTTGCCTTTTCTTATTAATTTACTCCTTTGTGAGTGGTCCACACAGCACCACAACTTGCATCAAATGTTTCTCCCCTACCAGGTTCTAACTTATCCCC